GGCGCTCAATTGAAATTGGGCCGTTCCAAAGAAACTAGGTGGGTCCCAGGGTTACCCATTCGGTTGCGGGACCCACTGGGCAGAAGATGTTGGTTTAGGCTGCACGTATCCCCAAAACCTGAACGGGTGCCGTGTCCCACCCTTCGGTCGCATTGTGTTCGCGCCTCCCTATGGTGTTAAAAAATCCCGAGGAAACATGTCCCCAAGGCGTATAACTTTGGATCGACAGGCTCCTTCGGCGTTCTCCTCCACTTCCTCGAGCAACGTGCCCACCGTCGGAGAGCACAGCAGCATCCAGCCATCGGTTTCCTGGCCGCGCCGGCTTCGACCCTGGATATCCAGTGGTCCATGGGTACTGTATTTGTGGCAGATAAAGGGAAACGAAAAGGTCTCGACAACATCGATACCTACTTTTGCTCGGCTGGATGGGCGATGTAGAACCCAGAGTCAATCTTACTTGCAGTTGTGCTCAGTCCTGCATGCCGCCGCCTTCTTGCGCCTCCCGAATTGCTAAAATCCGAACTCGCCGCCAGCAGTGGGTTGGGTCCCACTCGAACATGTCCACAATCCTCAGCAACTCCGAGCCACACGCTTCGTGTTCCTCTAAACTCCAAAGCTTCCGGGTTCTTGTGGGCTGGATCTGCAACTCCGGTCGGCTTTCACGTGCCACCAAAAAGAAGAAACATGGAACCTGAAGGTCCACTGGGAGACCACTTTGAACTGAAAGGGACACCTTTGTTCTGCTTGCTTTAGGCAGGCGATCATGACCCGCGAGCCAGGAAATAATGACCAGCAGTGGTCATAGACTACTACCAATGTGCTGCATGGGTCGCCGGTCGAAAGATCGAAAATGTACAGACCATACCCCATCTTCATTTACCGTTTTCTCTGACACGTCCTGCGGATTCAAAGCCATCATTTAGGGCAGAGAATTCACTCTGAAAAAAGCCAGCTGTTCCAACTCTCACTGTGCATCTTTCGTGGCTTTCGGTTGGGTGATTGGAGACACGGGAGCATTTTGCTCCTCGTTGGCAAGTGTATCAATGGTCATCCACTCGTCCCAAAAACTTGCTGGTGCTCAGTAGAGAATGAGAATTGGAATGAACCGTTTTGGGATTCGCGAATCAAGGAAACCATGGGGCATGGACAAAAATGTTGTTCTTGGGGTCATTCCAATTCTCATTCCCTGCCGATTTCGCACCAGGAACAACAAATAGCCACTTACTCTCCGATCAATTAACATGGAACCTGACAGGAGCCTGGACGATCCCCTGTCAGGTTCCATGTTAATTGGTGGAGGGATAGAGTCTGGGCTTTTTGGCGGGCGTTTCTCGGCTCCAAGCGTCTCCCCCTGCGGCAGCTGCCTCAAAGCCTGACTCTTGGTGTCTGGCTGCTGACGAACCGCCACCTCAGCCGTCGCGTCCAGCCGGCGTGGAAGCAGAGGCTCGAGCCGCAGCCACAGAAAGAACAAAAACAGTCCGGAAAAGCTCATAATGGAAAAAAGCCAAAGGTTGTTTGCTTGACTGGCCAGTTGTTGCTGGTTGCTTGAAAACCTCAACCCATCTGTCCAACAGTACATGGGGGTAGCCCATGATGAATGGCAATATCAAACTGCAATGGTGTGTCCTTCTCAAATCGAGATCAATCAGGGGAATAGAATGATATCGCTGATTTAGGGATGGTGTTTGAAGGGATACCAAAAGACAAACCTGGGGGAAGCCCTTGCTCCAATCATTGGAGAAAGTTTCCTCCATTGATGCACACGTAATCGATCGCTGGCAGTTGAGTTTGGACTTAAGGCGGACCAAACCTGGGTCAGTGACTAACCCTAAAGCTTGGACATGCGTCATTTCTACCATAGAACAGGGCGCAGTAAGTGCCAAATTCTTGACCCGAGCAGAAGAACCGAAAGAGCTCCCTGGAACCTTTTAGGCTGGCGCTTTCTTGTAGACCACGCGGTACCGCACTGGTGGCTCTGGAGCTTCAGCCTGAGATCCAAGGCGGGACGGAAAGCCTTTCCGTCCTCACATTTATGCAAGACATTTCCCTCGTTGAAATCCGAACCTCACTTCTTGAGTGGACCGGCCAAAAAAAGTCCAAACCCAAAAAGTGACTAAAGTCCAGGAACTCAGGAAGTAGGCACATCAAGAGCTCCAGAATGGTCCGTGTGTTCTGAACACCCGCGTCCGGCTCCTGCCCCCATTTCTGGACGCCCGGAGCTCCAGTGCTTTCAGTGAATGCCATTCGAGACCCAGAAGCAAACTCCCCAATCGTGGCAATCCCAAACCTGGGAAGAAAAGGGGGACCCTTGTTGGCTGATTGAAGGCAAAGCCCTAGAAAGCCTTGAAATCAGAAAATGCTTCTGGAGATCCGGACGAAAGGGTACTTGGGCATAGTTTTGCTAAATAGGTTCAACGGGACACCAGAAAACCACATCTTTGGTTGTGTTTCTTTCAGACCCTTTTCTAGTTCGAAGGGAAACTAGGTCCTCCAGTAGGGAGGTTAGAATAAGGGTACCCGATTTTGTTCTCTAGTCTATTTTAGTAGGGGAACCAAATCTCCCCCCAAAAAAAGAAACGGGAGAGAAGGGCACTGGGGGACCCATGGGAAACCAAAAGGGCCACCCGCCATTTCGGGGTCGTCGTGACCGACCCTTCCCGCCTCCTCTTCGGCCTCGGCGGGCTCTTCGTCGCCTCGCGCCACGGTGAAGCCCGACGATGGCTGAAATTTAGAGATAGAGAGGGAGGTATGCACGTGCCCCATCGATCTTAGGAATGTTGCTGATAACTTCGCTGTATCATACATATATATTTATATGTGTATGTAAATATATATATATATATACATGCACCCCCCCATGGACGCTGGTTTTAGTGCCTTTTGGGGATGGTAAATCTAGAATCTCGAGATTTATATTCTCTAAATTTCCAATTTGGGGTCCCCAAAGCCTGAGAATTTGGAGCCCGGAGTCCAAAATGTCCCAAGGCATCTGTGTATGTGTCGATGTTGAGTGGGATTCGCTTGTCCCTTTGGTTGCAGGTTGTGTCGCAAGTACCTTGTGCCTTTAAGGTACCTTATCATGTACTTGAGCTTCTTGTTGTCAAACTGTGTTGGTGCTTGTAGTGATCTTGCATTTTGAATAAAATTTAATAAGGTTTTAGTTTTCAATAACGTGTGTATGCTCAGTTACAGCTTAGATTCGATATGCAAATCCTTTCCACATAGGAGCTACATGAAAATGTGAATATAGTTTCTGGTAAGCTCAACTAATCTTTAACAAAATAAGTTAGATACGAGTTGATTCCCAAATATAATCTAAGTGGTAAATATAAAGTAATACAAACACAATTTGATTCGCGTTTGATAAAACAACTGAATAGAGACTACTGCTTAAATATAATTCATATCAAATATGGCATTCAAGGGACATTCGAAACACGATTTGTGTTGTTTACATTCTGGCTCTTTTGTAGCATAAGAAAGGTCCAAAATTGAACTTGTTAGACGGTGTTCCAAAGGGAAATTTCAAGGGAAGAGAGGTTCAAATTCTAAAACTATCTTGAAACAGGGATTCTTGCCAACTCAGTTGCATTTAAACTTCTATTTGCGCAGGGTACCTTTGTTTACCTCCTGGAAAAGGGTCAACATGAGCATAGATGACATGAAGCAAACTGCTCACCAAAAACACGTGAAAGTTTTTGTCTAACTAATAACTTGAAAGTGTACCACTGGATCGCTAAGCACTTCAAAGTATGTTGCCACTGGATGGAAGATCCGAGATTGAAGATTACACAGAACGCTTTCCTGAGAATTGTCAATCCTGGCCAAACCCAAACAACATTTAAGTTTTTCTAACGATTGAAAGTGATTTACCACTGGATTGAGGATTCAATATCGACAATTGCACAAACAACAACTTTCCTGAAAATCATCCATCCTGGTCAACCCCTAAAATGTTCAAGTTGCTCTAAAACCTCGAACGTATTTTACCACGGGATTCAAGATTCGAGATTGACATATTTCACGGAAAGCTTTTCCGAGAATCTTATTGAACACCGAGAGTATTGGGACAACCCCGTTTTGTTTTGTTTCTTTTCTATTTTCTGTTTATCCGGGAGTCAAGGTTCAAGATTTCCAGAAAATGCTTTCTCAGAATATCGAATATTGAATCTTGAATCCAATAGTTTTTAAACATTAAACAAAGCTGGATTTCAAGATTCCCAGAAAATATGTTCTCAGATTCTTGAATGTTGAATCCTAAGTCATACATCATACATTTGCATAGACTAACCTCCTGACTTTCTGGACTTGATACCATTGCCACTGTGTTGGAAAACGAAGACTACAAACCATTTTGATTGTCAATTGGGGGTTGTCGAAAATGATTGTTCCACGGCTTTCTTTTAGGATCCCTTGCGCCCGCCCTTGCGCCTCCTTGCGCCTGCGTGTGTTTTTGCTTATGCCGTCATCTTCGTGTACGAAACACATGGGAGATTGGGTGCTGAATGTGGCTTTTAAGCAGTACCAAAAGGCTCGGGCTCAACATCATTCTGCTGAGCAAACTCCTCGGCCTGTTTGTAGCTTCTTAAGGCCTTGGAGCGCTTCTGCCCGTCATCGAACTTGTAGATCTTATGCAAGATGCATGACAGCGTCATGCGTGTCTCCACGGTCCAAGTCATAGCGGCTAAGGTCTGAAGCTATTCTCAAACGGTCTCAAGCCGGGGCTGAATGTCTGATGCTATTCGTTTCAGAGAGACAGAGAGAGAGCGGGAGTGGGAGAGAGCTCTGGCTGAAGAGGGCTACAGGGTTCACGCACGCTGGTTGTCTTGTATTAAAGGGCCTCGTGTCTTGAGCAGTTTCGCGCCCCCCCCCCCCCGGCAAGGAGAACTAGTGAGCAAGAGGCCCGCTCCGCCGGCAGGTGGTCCCTGATGCCAGCCGTGCTTTGTGCGACAGTCCGCTGCCTCGGAATGAAGAAGGAGGTTACAAGGCGGTCGCAAGATATCCAAGCTCTGACAGCCTCCGTGGAGCAGGCAAAGCCTGACCAACTGGCAGGGGCCGGCACGTGCCCTGCTTTTGTGTGGCTTCAGACTGTTTCAGACTGGCTGCGGGAGCCATGCTTAGAAGAAGTAGTAGTAGTAGTAGCAGCAGTAGCAGTAGTAGCAGTAGCAGTAGCAGTAGCATAATAATAGTATTAGTATTGGTAGTAGTAGTAATAATAATAGTAGTGGTAGTAGTAGTAGTAGTGGTAGAAGTAGTAGTAATAGTAGTAGTAGTAGCTGTAGTAGTAGTAATAGTAGTAGTAGTAGTAGTAGTAGTAGTAGTAGTAGTAGTAGTAGTTGCGCCCGCCCTTGCGCCTTCTTGCGCCTACGTCGTGTTTTCATATGTCTGGGATGAGATTTCTTATATCTATATTCCGCTCCTCAATTCTCTTAGGAAGCGAACACACGACATTCACGTAATTTGTGTAACATACACATACCATATATAACTAGAAAGGTAGGTCCCTCGGGGGGGGGGGTAGCATATATATATATATATACACATATATATATATATGTATATATGGTTCTCCCCCCATGGACCTGCCCACAAACAGAAATGCACTTACACACGGCCAACAGTTACATGTAAGAGGGGGCATCTCAAGACCCAAGGAACATGCACACCGATGCATTAAAAACACATTCTGGCAATAGCCAATGGGGGAGGGAGACTTAGGAATGATGCTATTTTGATTATCTGCAACTGAGGACAGGCACTTTGAAACTCGCCCGAAGTCAGAGACCAAGAAAGGGACTTTCATGGGAAACATCCATGCCAGAATGAAGGGATCACCTGAAATGGCCCTCCCAAGAGTGGTTAGTCATCAACGATATCTTCCCTGTTGTCGGGCTCGTAGTACTTACCGCATCCACAACAAAACGCACACACACACACACACATGCACCGACACATTTGTGGGACTGTGTGTGTGTGTGTGTGCGTGTGTGTGTGTGACAAAGCAAGTTCGTTGGAATCCACTGACCAACTGGTCAGCCCATCTTTCAGACATTCCTCACTTCTTCCACCTCCCAAAGCTCGGCGAGACTTCGTTGAAGGCACCTGTCATAGCCATGGGTGTCTCAAGGGCAAACAGAAAACATAACGATGTTGGATGGGGTTTGAGGGAGAAAGGAGCGGTTCCCCAAATTGAGGCGGAGGAATGCCAACAGGTTGCTGTCTGCGTGCGGATGGCGACTTTTGGTGAACCATTTGTTTGCTCACGTTGAAGGGAACTGCACCCGTGCATGCCTGGAAGCAAAGTGGAGCTGCAAAACAAAGCTGCGACTTGGGACATCCTCCCCCATCCCACCCAATTCCTGCGAATCGAGACCACTTCAGGGCTTGCCATTTGGCGGTTTCTTCCTGGGAGTTGCCCCAAGAAACGTTTGCTCAGCTTTTGCCCCCAACCAAAAACGATACGTTTGCTCCTGTTCCATATTTAATGAACCTTAAAATACAAAACACTGCCAAAGAGATCCAACATGTACAAGATACAGGGGCCCTCTGGAGGGTCTAACTACTTCTGTACTCCCCAAATGAACTTGCAACTCAAAAGGACCCCACCAGAAGCTTCCAGACATGAGCCTCCCGCAAGACTCCGGCCTGCTGCCGCTCGCAGCAGGCGGTCGCACGCGCTCTCAGTGGGCTGGCTGTAGCCCCGCGCCTCCTCGGCCAGTGCCCGCGGCCACAATGCAGCCAAGCTGGACTAGGTCCTCCAGAGAGCTTGAACTAAGGGTACGACATCTTGGGTTTCTTTCAGACCCTTTTCTGGTTCGAAGGGAACCTAGGTCCTCCAGTAGGGAGGATAGAATAAGGGTACCCGATTTTTATATTGTAGTCGATTTTAGTAGGGGAACCCTCCCAACCAACAAAGGGGTGAAAAGGGTACTGGGGGACCTAGTGGATAACCAATCATTTGCTGACAATCCAAAGACGTAAATCCGTAAATCAGAACTGAGGTCTTGGCGAAAACCACCTCAGTATCTTGCTGATCGCTCGGGACTGCGGGCATCCGGAATCGGGCGGGAGGGGGGGGAGCCTCCTGCAGGTCAAAATGGACCGTTTTAGAGGAAGCTCACTTTTCGGATTCCGTCCCTTAAACAACCAAATCCTAGTCCCTGTTCAAGGGAAACCAAAAAACATGACTTTGAAATGCACCAACCTATAACTTTAGATTTGTTTCCCCTTCAGCTGCAGCAGCCTTTGAGAGGTTAGGGAACACCTTTCCATCTCTGAGCCTCCCGTCACGTGCGCGCCTGCGCCGCGGAATCGGCTTGCTCCGCAAACAGCGGCGGTTCTGCTGGCGGCGCAGGGGTGAGAGTGGCCTTCGGCGCACGAGGCTCAAGTCTGGGGAGTCCAACTGGCCTTACGATTTGGCCATGGGCCCAAACTCCAAATCGTACTCCCAGTGAACATCTTAATCCCCACTAAGATAAAGCCTAAAATGGGTGGTGAATTCACCTACCCCAAAATGGGATCCCAAAACGGTTTTGACAACCACAGCCAATTTACCAAAGTCACCGCCGTTCAGTGGTGCGTTAACAGCCGATTCCATTTTCTGAGTTTCGTGACCCGAAACCGTCAAATTCATGACGCCAGGTACGCCAGCTCAAAGTGGCAAATCACAGGTTTCCTGGCTCCTGACTTAGGGAATGCGTATCGAGGACTTTTTGAAACCCTTGGTAGGCCTTTGTTTTTGGCAGACCCCACTAACAAAAAACAAAACCAACAAAAATCAGCGGGGGGGTGACAGTCTAGGTAAATTGATCAGAACTAATCAACCTGACATAAGCATGGACCCCCAATGTTAGAACCTTCATCACGCGGGTCACAATCTTCTCACGGAAGGTCAGTTTGCTAAGTGTTGCCCAGAAGTACGGTATCACTGTCCGTTGTCAGAATTCGCCAAGTGGCCCAATGCCGAAACGCCCAAAGCCGTCATTGTCAAACTCAAGCGGCCCAGCACTCCACACACAGGTCGGACTACTTTCCACTTCACCGGGCCGAAAGGTAAAGAACAGAAAATAAATCGGCCCCTCCTTCAAACGATCTCAGCGGGCAAAAGGAGTGGGCAGCAGGTGATCGAAGGGATGGTCAGGAAGGCCAACCAACAACACCAGGAAAACTGGAACTATCTGGGCGAATGACTATTCACTCACAAACTGGAAACAAGGAATTCTGATGGGCCTGGGACTTTAAGCAGTGAGTTTTTTTTTCCCCTAGGTGGCTTGTGAACTTCTTCACCACTGCCGAAAAGGGAATCTGGAAGCACAGACCATCAAGCATGGGACAACATGGGCACCGCTTTTTGGGTGATTGAGTCCAACGCGGAAACCTTGAGGAACCCTCCTAAAGCACCTACAAAGCTGCCAAGGCCCCTTGCCTTTCTTTGAGCCAAACGGTCCTTTTGGGGCCTTTGGGGTGACGCCGCTTAGCCAAGGCTTCCTGCACGGTGCCCTTTTGGTGCCCTTTGGGCGCCTGCGGCATCGGCTGCCTGGGTGCTCGCTTGGAGTTGCCCCAGAAGTAGTCGAAGACGTCCTGCTGTGGAAACCATGGGAAACCATTGTTTGTTGGTATTTTACAAGGGAATCATCTTTCCAATTCCCTCGAGGAGTGTTTGCCAAGCCTGTGCTCAGGAAACCTGGACACGCTCATTTACGTGAGCACACGACCAGAAAGCCGGGTTTTGCAGCCTGAGACTCTTCAGACTCAAAAATCACTTGCTTCGGGACATAAAGAATTTGCCTGCCACCCAAATGTTCCTTTTGAAACCTGGGCAAGCGAACCTCTGCAAACGGAAGCTGCGCTCGCAAGGCAACAGCACTACCCCCCCTCCGTAATGACCTCTTGCCAGGCTGGGGGTTTGGTCGACTGTCGACATCCAAGGCCCATCATTTTCCAAGGTACTGTAAGGCTCTTAGATCCCTCTTGGAATGTGTTTGTGGCAGATCTTGCGAACGCATCGTGCAGCTTGACTGCAGGTTACCCATGCGTTCTGATCATGCCCCAACACTCGGTGTTTGAAATCCAAAGACGACGCCAATGTGTGATACCACGGCCATGTTGGTCGATTCTCAACATTGGGGACGCCTCCAGTAGTGATTGGTTGTTCCATGCTGACGCTTATTGTTGATTCTTGAAAACTAGTAAACATAGGGGGTCACAACTGGATTCTACACATGTCGTCCCAACAACAACCATCGCTCCACACAAAAGAAAAGGAATAATGATCAAAGTAGCTTCAAACTGTCAAAAACAAATAATTAATGATCAAAGTAGCTTCAAACTGTCATGTTCCGACCAGGCTTTAGACATCCCATCAACGATCTCACTGTCGTGGCACACGGAAACCCTAGCAGGCAACAAGGCCAAACGGCCCACTTTGGCAAACATTGTTCAAACGGATTTGCTCTGAAAATAAATAAACATGGAGCCCCGAAACAAACCTCATTTTGACAGGGATCTCCTTTTGGGAAATGTAGTTTCTTTCTGGACTGACCTCCGAAGAACCACTATCTTGAGAAATCGGAACCTCCTTATACCCCCAACAAGTGAGGCCACACGTGAAGTTGCAAGGTGTACACCACCGCCCAGTCTGAGGAGTTGCGAGTTCCAGGTTCTTCCAGTCCTCTTTGGGGGAGGGCTGCAGCAACGCCGTGAACTCCGCCGAATTCGGCGCCGACTTCGGCGGATCTGCCTCCCTCGTCTCCTTGCCTGGCAAATCGGGAGAGCCAGGGAGTCGGCGAGCTGCCCAGGTTAGTCTTGGAAAGGAGTTCAGGGTTCAGGCATGGGGGGCTTGGGGCTTGGGGTGGATTCAAATGCTACAAACTCGGAATCACAAGTTGGGCCTTGAAGAAACTTGAATCAAGAGGTCCTGTTTGCCGGGCTTCCACTCTATGCCCTTTGAACCCTTCCAGAGATGGACCTCCTTGCCTGAAATTCATTTGCAAAGCCTGCAGCTCCACACAAAACGAGCGTGCCGTTCGTTGGCGGGAAAGAAAAGGGACACCCGTGTTTGGTGAAGGATTCTACAAAGGCAAGCCAACAAATCATAATCAAAACTCGGTGTCGTTTCTTGAGGGTTCCTTGTTGCTGTTATCGGTTCTTTTATTTACTGTTGTTTTCTTGGGGGGTCCCCCCATTTTACGACAAACCAGCGGGATACACATCCTAACAGGTCGACCTGTCGGCAGGCCTGGTTCCTCCAAGTCATCGGTAACTGCTTGCAGCAACAGTCCCAGCTCAGGATGGTGCACCATGACCCAGGCATCGGTTTTCTCGACCTGGGCTCCGTCGACTCTGATTACTTCTCTATCTCTCGCTCGCTCTTCCTCTTCTCCCCTTTTCTCCATCTGTCACCACACCACTAGTGGTCTTGCATATCAAATGGCCATGGGTCAAAATCCAAATCGTACCCCCAGTGAACATCCCCATCCCCACTACAAACTAAAATGGGTGGTGCACCATACCCCAACATGGTACCAAAACGGTTTGACAACCACAGCCAAATGGCTGGCGTTTGCTGCAAACGCCATCGACCCTTGAGGCTACTCTCGGCTTCAAATCGTCGAGAGCCCCAGGTGAACACAAAGAACAGCTGAGCCACCAGGCGCGAACTGTGGAGACCAACAACTCCCTGTGCACCAGATTTGGGTGTGGGTCAACAATAGGTACCCAAACTGGAACCCTGGTAAACCGCAACAAGGACTAAAAACCTGCAGTCCGATTCCTGGTTTCATTTTGACCCACGTCCCGTGTCAAGCGGCAATCTTGGACCCGGGCCACCTCTTCCCTCGCGCCTGCCGCCTCCTTGCGACCCTTGGCATCCACCCAGCAGTTTTTGGCGGCGTCCCACTCAGGGGCCTCTGTCGCCCACCTGAGGTGCAGGGCAGGAGGGGCTGCTTTGTGCTGGCCCCGTGATTCTACAGTGAGCAAAAATATACCCAGGTAGAAGGGGAACCACAGTCAGAAACAGTCAAAAGGGCATAATTCAAAACCCAACCGCTAGGGAACCGCAGGTTTAAGTCCTTGGTTCCCATTTACTAGGGTTCTGTTTTGGGTACCAATTTTGAGCCCCACAGCCAAATAGTGATCCCATTATTGCCTGAGAGATCAGGAGTCAGGACCATCGACTGGTTGCAGCCGAAGACGCGCACCAACTACCCTGTCCAGTGACGGCAGAAGGGGGATGTGAGAACCAACAGGTTTCCCCAGAGCTACAGTTGTAGCCCAGAGTGGGATGTTCCTCCCAGGAGATTCAAACAACCACAGACAAAACAAAGAGAGAGAGAGAGAGACAGAGAGAGAGGGGGGGAGAGGGAGAGGGAGATCACGAAATAGGAGAATGCTCATAAGGCCATGGAATAGTATATAACAGGTTGTGGGGAAAGGACAACAACTTGTGAATCAACAAAGTATCTGGCTTCAATGTCTATTCAACATCAAAGTGGAGCATCCCTACATCAAAATCCTTTGTCGAGCTTGTCCAAAGGACCTGACAACAAGAAGCTGCCCTACATCACCTTGTCTTTTATGCAGCCACACGCCTGGCACAAGCCCACCAAAGCCAGAAAACCATTCGCTCTTGGGGGACCCCCTTTTCAGGTTCCGTGCGGAAAAACAAAAAGAACACAAACCGCGTGCAGCCAACCTTGCTCCATCCCAACTCCTCAAGCTAGGACCATGCAACATGCTCGTGCCGACTGACTGCTTGACCATGTGACAAGTGGACCAGTTAACCACCTGACTACTGGAACTTGCAAGCAAGCCAGTCAGCCAGCCAGCCAGCCAACCAACCACCCCAGCCACCGCTGTTCTGCAAGCCAACGCTAGAACTCATTCCAGACCACATCATATCAACCCACCAAAACGGCCAAGAGGGTGCAAACGGTTTCCTGCTTTGCCTCAAAAAGAAAACAACATATTGGTTCGCTTGCGTGGTTGGTTTAAAGGGGCAATGGAAGACACATCTTTGAGGGTTCTACTTCGCTTCAAGAGGTCTCATGTTCCACTCTTGGGGGATCCAGCGAGCTGACTTTCGCAGCCCAACAGAGCGGAGGGCAAGCAGTGTGTTTTGTTTTGAGGCTCGAAAGGAAACCAAAGGAAACGAGCATTTTGAGGGGCCCGAAATTTAGAAACCACACACAGACATGCCAATTAAAGTCAACTCAGTTTGACGCTCGCGTCGCGGGTCTGAACATCACGCTGTGACCCCAAAATGGGACTCGTGGAAACATGGAAGATGGAACGAGTGGCTGAATGGAAACCTGGAACCATGGAAGCATGGAAACCATTAAACCACCCTGCGGTCCGTTTCCCGGTGGTTCCTCGGTTGCTTTCTGCTCCCCTGCTAAAAGTGCATAACTTCTGGTGGTCTAATGGAACACCCATTCGTTGGCAAAAAGCTAAGGCCCTAGCATCCTCTGGCAAAATTCGCACCTCTCCGGTTTCCTGGTGACCCAAAACCCACCGCCATCGCCCCGGCCTCTTCTGTGCCTCCGTGAGCCGCTTCGTGGGCTCCGCGTGCGTGGCGCGGTCCTGAGGGCCCGAGGTTTTGGTGAAGCGGTCAGCTTGGGCCATGGGTCAAAATCCAAATCGGTTAGCCCCCAGTGAACATCCCAATCCACGAACAAAGGGTGGTGAACCCATTGGTTTTGACCCACAGCCATTTGGCCATTGGGACGAGCTTGGCAAACCCAGAGGATCGAGGGTTTTTTTTCGGGGTGCAGAAATTTACTCAACCAGAAACTGAAGGAAACAAAGAAACATGATCTAAAACTTGCAGGCAACCAGCGAAGGGGCCCAAAGGGGCGGAAAACATGTCATTCCTTCAAATGGCCCCCAAAATGATTCCCATTGCACTGAAAAACAAATCCCTGCATTGCAATGGGGTAACTTGCAAGGACCCCTGCGTTCGTTCGTGGGGTATCTCTGGCATTGCTGCTGCCTGCAGCCTGCAGCAGCCGCTGCGTCCCATATCAACAGATCGATGTGTTCTTCTTCGAATGTTGGGAGCCCTCTCGATTCCACCATGACGGTTAACTCACAGGTGGGGCTTCCTCAAACAACCGCACTAGAGGGAAGTCTCAAATTCTCGGATGCTCATGATCATGAAGTGCAAATACAAAGCTTGGCGGCTGCTGCCAAGCAGCTGCACGAACCATGCAAAAGCTGATAGTTCCTCTCTTCCTGCTCAAAAGCGTCTAATGTCGATGAAGAAATTCGCCGAGATCCCTCGGGGAATCGGATTGCTTCTAAGCTGCTAAGCAGCTTCAGCATCCTCCACAAGTTTTGGGGCACAGCTTCACGAATTCTTCAGCCACACACCAGCCAGCTGCCAAACCATCCGAACAGTTTGCAACAGAGCCGATGGGTGGGAAGGTTAGATCTTTACATTCGCAAGATGACGGACACCCTGCAGGTGCCTGCGATGGGTCTGTGGTGCAGCCACAGGTCGCAGGACACAAGCGCGCCAGAGGCGCGAAAAGCTCCTCCATGCCGCTGCACCATGGGCGAAGTGTCACCTCTTCCTTCTCCAGCTCCTGGTTGGCCAAAGCAGCGCAGCCGTAAAATTTCATGGCGTCAATGAGCTGATACACACCTATAGCCAAGGAGGAGTTGTCAGTGGAATCCAAAGTTTGCCCAAGTTCGGCTTCAAGCACAGTAGGATAAAGATCCCAAAATTCATCCCATGCGGGGAGATTGACCTGGTTTGTGCATTCGGCGGATTGATCTGCTTCCTGAAAGCATGCGACAGGGCAGCCCTTCGCAGGAACTTTGAACCAAGGATTGCTCCTTGAGTTGGTGCAGCACGTTCGCCCGCAAACAAATCGAAGTAACTGCGCGTCCTCATCATCACATCTGTGCTGCGCATCTGCGCATGAACTGTTGCTGGGAAGGCCGAGCCCAAGCATTGCTGCTCTGTAGAAAGGCATGAAGTAAGCAGCCTGCGATGCATGCTCGCTGTCAGTGCTGAAAAACTGATCGACATCAGCACACCAGGCATTTTCAGAGGCTGCTGCCGTTGTCGTCTGTGTTCTATAGCTCTCAAACCGCCGTGGATCAGTGTGGAAAGCAATGTAATTTGCCTCCAAGCTTTGCTGGAAAAGGTAGTCACCGATCGCCAATTGGACTAGCGTTTGGTCAGCGCTGCTGTTGAATGGAACAGACTTGAAGCCAAAGGGCATTCTCTGATCTTCGTTGAGCCCAACCACAAAGTCCTGATTGCCTCCACAGTGGGCATGCTTCACAGCTTCCATGGTCTGTCCCAAGGGACCTACGATGGTAAACCAGGGCCAGGCCAGAAGTGCACCCAAAATGACGATGATGCAAAGAGATTCCAGCTCACTGCGGAGTCGACTGTATTGCACCTTAATCGCCTCAAGGTCCTGCACTTTCAGCTGAAGCTTCTTGGGCATCATGGCTGAGAAGATGATCGCGTCCACGTCCAAAATCGCACCCAAGGCGACTGCGTTCAAGATGAGATCAGTAATGGACGTAGTGCTCCCAAGCCACAACACCCCCGCATAGAGCAGCACCCCGGCAATGCAGGCACGAAGTAGGCGAAGCACGCAGTACGCCCAGAACCGTCCGTAGGAAATGACTTCGAACCGGGCTCCCTGAAATTTGGTCCGCGCCGATCTGGGGATTTGGGCCACGGCCTCCAAGGAGAGGAAAATGGTGCGAAACTCATTGCAGATATAGAGGCACCACAGTAAGATGCAAAGCATCGCCAGCAGAATCCCGGGACGAAATCTGGTGGCTTCATTCTCATCGTCTTCCAGATTTAGAAAACTGTTTATGCGGTGAACAAGATCTGCCTGCTCGGTGGAAATGATCAAAGAGCCATCTCCGTTGCAAACACGAGACGTCAAGCTTGTCTGCGCAAAGTCCAGGTAAGTGTGATCATGCGCTACACTTCGTCGCCAACTGAGGGCTGTCTCGACTTGGTTTTGGTCGAAGGGTTCCCCAAGAAATGACTCGCTGGTAAGGATCCAACTGAAGGTAACTTGCATGCCTGCACTCGCAGCAAGGAGAAGCCACGCAACCATCACATCAACCCAACCCACGCTGGAATGACCCAATACCAAAACCAGGTTCCAGGTGGTGAAAGCCACAGGCTCCATGGCATCATCATTTGTGGTTTGGGCATCCGCAATGTCTTCAGGCTCTGGACCCATATCCCCCAGGAGCTTCTTGATCTGCGGGGGGTCGTGCGAATCCTTGAGATTCAGCATTTGGAGGTCACGACAGCTGGTGCTTTCCAAGATCTTCAGCTTTTCTCGCAGCGGTTGAAGAGCTTTCTCCAGTTCCAACCGGAACTCTTCTCGCATCCTCCGCTCCAAGTTGGCAATGTTCTTTTCGAGCTTCGACGCCGACATGTTTGAACCAAAGAAGTTCTCAAGGCTAGGTTACATGAAATATGCTGGAGCCAAACATTGGCATGGACAAGGCCTTCATCAAGTCAAGCTGTGAGCAGCAAGCGTGAAACTGCCCTGGCATCCCCAACTCGTTTTGCTTACTTCCGCAAATGTCAGCATGAAACGCAAAACGCTTCGTGGTAGGAGCTGAGTCCACCCTCCCATCCACCATGGAACCTGACTGCTTTGGGAAACTGGTCTTCCAGGGCTTTCTGTGTGGGGCAAACATCACCCTGCAAGAGGACTTGTCAAAATGGCCGGATGTTCAAATCCCCACGAAACCAAAGCCCAATTGGAGGGGTTCACTATTTCTTTGTTCACTTTTGTTTGCAAAATCGACGGAATGTTTAACTGAAATAAAACCCCTTCCATCAATTCTCAACCAATAGGGGGTGGCTTCCTGAGGGCAACAGACCCCAATTCATCTGTCAGGTTCCTCGATCCGCGGGTAGACCTTGCTAAATGGTGTACCCTGATGCAGCAGCTAGGCTTCTACCTTTGCAACATGCCGTTTGATAGGACCTGTTGACGGACATCACTTAATTACACGAGACATTTATGCCATTCAGAAACAGATCGTGGGGGTTCCCAAACTGCTGGGGGACGAGACCTCTTGGGTACACTCCTGGTCTACATACCGCTTCTCCTTGCCGCGCAATACTGCCAAGTTGCCACGCAAACTCTGCGCCATCCTGAGGCAGGTGAAATCTTTTGCCGAGGACCGACCAAATGGCTGGGTCCTGACGCCCCTTTGTTACACTCCTTGCGCCTAGGCTTTGACCCTGATGTCAAGCGAGAAACCCATCCCTTTACGCATGAACTGTCACCACTGAGAGGCACGAGACAGCCGCCAAGAGCAAAACACATGAGGAATGAAAGGCGGGTTGATGTAGCGGATCAGGAAGCAAACCCGAACGACGCAACTGGACACATCAGTGGAAAAAGCACCCGAAAAGCAACCACTCCAACCCGGACACTTGTACTCCCCACCATGTGAACCCCGGACTTTACCTGGCAAATGCATTCCTTCAAAGTGATGCAGCTCTAAGATTTGTTGCAGGGCCCCTTAAACGTCACCCCGCCGAAAGGCAACTCACTGAAACTTGGCCTTTTCAACCCCCCTCAACAAAAATGTTGGGGGTGTCTGCCACCCTCTTTCAGGTTGTTTTCGAGAGAGACTGAAACGCAACCGCCGATTATAGGGGTTTCCACCCTATGCTTGGCGACAAACCCAGCAGAACCAAACTCATGTCTATTGTTTTTTTTGAAGATGTTTCGAGTCCGAATTCATCTAATGTTGATCCTGGATTAATAAACCCCAGTTTATCAATTGGGGGGGCTCCTGTCCCTGGGGGTAGTCAAACCCCATAGAAACTGGGGTTGATTGATCTGAGGTCAGCATTACATGGATCCCACCCTTGGACAAACGAACAAGCGGGGATACGGAGGGAGCGGGGATATGGGGAATCGATTCCCTTGGCGCCATTTCCCGTTTTTCAAACTAGACAAGGTGCATCAAACGGGGGAATCCTGAACCGTATCCCTGGTTCCCCCTGTATCCCTGCTAATGTTGATCCAGGATTAATAGGCCCGTCCTACTATCAGAGGGGGTGTTCCCTCCAAAAGTTGTCTGAATCCCCACTAAAAGGAAAAACACCCCCCCAATGAAAATCAAGCAGGGGGTTCTACTGTAGTTCCGGGGTTAACATTTGGTTTCCCTGACCGCAACCACGGCGCTTCTGGACACGTCCCACTCGAACATCTCCAGGCGATGTCCGCGGTTGAGTCGCCGTACGAAGGCCGCCTCCAGCGACGGCGCCAGGCGCACCGCCACGAAACTCGCCACCACCTCGTACCTTGGAGCGGAGCGTGGGGTTGATCAATGGCCCCAGGTGCCACGGCCTTTCCCATATGGGACACCTGTGGAGAGGTTAGAAGGGTGCCAACTGTTTCCTGTAGTCTATTTGCAACGGTCCAGAGGGACCCTTGTGTTTTGGAGTAGAACAAGGCTACCCTAAAATAGACGTTCTTACCTCTATTGAAAAGAGTTAGAATCGAATCAGGGCACCAACCTTTTTCCTGTATTTCAGTAGGGGAACCCTGCCCCAAAAAAGAAACGGTAAAAGGGCACCAAGCTCGGGGCCTAGTTGGGGCAACGGAAGTTGGGGGTTGACCAAGATTCCTGGCCCCAGAAACTGACCATGATGGCCTTTCCCATTTCGTGTGACATATCATCTTGCTGGTTTTACCCTATGGTCATGTTCATCGGCACTGAAACAAGTGTGTAACATCATATCCCAACGCGACAAAAAGGGTGCCCACTTGGAAAAAAGACACACCCTGCAAACTAACACGGGTGGGGCTTCCTCCCTTTTTGGAGCGCCCGCAAATGAATAGTCGGGGTACAATGAATCTCGAGCGACTATTACTGTCCAGCACGCAGATTGCAAACCTCCCAAACCGGCTCATTTATTTGCTCGCTGAAAGCCAGAAACCCATGCCCCAAAGGTGACCCTTGCGAGTGTTCTGACAGCCCAAACAAATGACACCCATCTCGGGGCTGTCTGTGGGGAAACAACTTCCTTGCGGAGGACATGAAGATGTTGGATAGCATGCTCGGCGACTGCCCAAACGTAAACTGGTCGATCCCTGGGTGTTGGCTGAATTGTTGTGTGGCCACTCTGTGTTTGCCGATGTTGCATTTGGCTCACCTACGACGACATGGGGTCTCAAATAGGTAAAAAGGGTACTCTTAACAAGTCACACCCACATTCGTCACACTCCAAACCGAGCCATGCGTGGTTGGGCATGTCAAACAGTAAGGCAAGAACTGATTGCACACGTACAGGCATGCCTTCGGCACCATGCTGATCATGTTGACTGTAAGCAAACATGGTTTGGCGAGGGAGGGGGACACGTTGAACACAGCCAACCACTTCTGCAGGCAAGACTCATTTGTCCCACATTCAGCCGACGCAGAGGAGGATCCTCCTTCGGCTATGTTCACGGCCACTGAAAACACGCACGAAGCACAAATGCCACAAGGACCGTTGCACCATGGCACTGTGGGCGGAAGTCCTCCTCTATGTCGGCTGAGTGGGCAAACCGCCCGACATGTCTCCTGGCAATGACAGAAGCACGAGGAGGGAGCGTCCACTGCGACAGAAGAGGTATATGTCATCAGATCATCAGATTCCCGCCATGTTATGCAAAAGGCCCCATGATTGCAACTGATGTCCACAAACCTCTGTGGAGCTTTGCTCCATGCCGCTTTCAAAGACTTCAACCCAACGTGTAGCTTGTTACCAGCATCAGCGGGTCTGCAGTAGGATCCCCAACTTTCAGGTCCATCCTGGCCTATATACGCCTGGCAAATTCCAAACCGTCAACATGCCTCAACGTCAGCCTGTGCCCCCGAACCACAAACATATGTCACATTCTAGTTTATGATTGATGCTCTCTGTATATATATATACATATATATAGTATTCATAAATCTATATATATGTATATATATATACATACATGTGTTCAATGAGATCCCAGTTGAGGTGATTCAAGGAAGGGGGGGTTAAATCCTCGCGAATCCAAACTACCAATCCAATTAGAATGCGGGTAAGGCAAATAAGCTCAACCCCTAGAAGCCATAGACAAAAGAGGGCGCTGCTGGGAGGAAACACATGTTTTTCAAACTAGGGTTTTCTGTGACTTCTCCTTTAAACCATGCCGCAGAAGGGTCGAATCACGATTTTGGCACGGCCTCAAATGGCTAGGCATTTTCATGGGCAACCAACACAGTGGTGGACATGAATGTATGATGTCCAACAAAAGGGTCACCATATCCATGTGTCAAAGTAGGGATTTGCCAAAATGGCAAACCAAAGTAGATTCACCCTAAAGAACCAGAGATTTGAAATCCCACCCCCAATCCAAACCAAAAGGGTACCCTCCCACCAATTCACATGGAACCGGTCGACGTTTCGGGATCCTGGGTCCTTTGCTTGCCATCTTCCGTTTAAAGGGACCGGGCCTTTGTCAGGTTCCAACGGTGATTGGCAGGATCCCCAGCGAAAGATCCATCCAGTCCTCCCCTCCGCCGCCTCAATCTGGGCCTCCAAGCCCGCCTGGGGAAAATCTTTGCGTGGCATTCGCCCGAAGAAAAAAACAAAAGAAACACAAACATATTCCCCGCATATGATGCGTATGTCTATATATATATATACGGATATACCTGGAGTCTCCTTCAAACCCGCCTGCGGAGAAATGCGTGGCACGCCCGAAGAAAAAGCAAAAGAAACAAAGATATTCCCAACACATGGTGTGTATGTATGTATATATATATATGCTTGCATTGCTATATAATGCTGTTCGCCTATCTCTATTTTTTTCTGAACATGTAGGGACCATGACACACCGATACCCCTCCCCATCTGCAAGACCGATACGAGGGCCATCAAACCTTATGATGTAAAGCTAATTCAGAGAAGACTCAGGAATTAGGTCAGCAGAAATCAATCATTGGATTTGTTCAACCACTCGCCCGGCTTGACACGCCACTGAACTTGTGTACGGCCTTTGTCCACCCCCGGATTTGTTCAACAACACAATATGCGCGATCCTTCATGGCGATCATTTCCTGCACCGTCATCTCCTCCACTCCCACCATGGCGATCGCAGAATCGAGGGTGCCGAAGCAGCCCTCAGCGCTGGCCGTGTTCCAATCGCCTGACACAAGCTACACATCCTGGGCCGGTCCAAACTTCCGCGACGGGTTCTCTATCTAATTAGATCCTAGAGCATGTCATGCTGAGGGATCTGCTAAGAAGACTTGAGCCTTTTTAAGTCTCAAAGCCGGTGGATTCTCAATACAATTGTGTATGATACATATAGACCTACATATAGATGTCCATATATTTTTATAGTACATAATTCACAATGTGAACATGTCAATTGTTTTTGAACATGTTGGTAGACAATGTACGCACCAGTCTACAGTATGTAGCATCTTGCTCAATCTTGTGAATAAGCACGACTTGTGGGCTTGCTCTGGTCCTCCCTACCTGCAGCAATCTCAGGCCTTGATGGAGCTAATGTGATATCGAGATATCGAGATGAAGTTGCCGCTCTGCATTCTGTTTGAGCCACAAGCTTTCGACGGGGATGATCGGCCATGCCTCTCAATGACAAATCGGCTTCCGTTTCGCCTTGCAAAACACAAACGCGCAAATAATTCAGCTGCCCAATAACCCTGGCAGCAGGAACCTGTTTGAGGTAGACCGTTTCAGGTCAACATACTGTGGATGGTTGCGAAATCCACTTCGCACCACTTGGAAATCCTGGTTGAAACCATAACATTTGTTGGTATTTACCGTTGGGGAATCGAATCAAAAACCATGGTTTCTGAACGGTGGTGCCGAAATGAGGATTTCGCCACCATCCACAAAGCCCAAAGAGCTAGGCATCGTCTCTACGCCGGATCTCGGATGTCACAAGGCGAGGCAAAAGGAAGCGCCTGCATACATCTGCCCCACGGGCCTGAAGGATTTTAAGCTTGTTGTTTCTATGGGCATGACTCAATTCATGTTTTGAGGCACTCCATGACACCATTGTAGTTGCTGCGGCCCTTGCAGTACTTACTGCAACAATGTCTTCCATATGCCTCAAGTATTCAGATCAATATTATCTTTCCCAAATGCTGAAGCGCAAACACACTTGAAAGGAAGTCGCAGGCAAATGGTTCAGATGGCCTCAGAATCCCTGGACTGTGTTTGGAACACAACTTTCCCTTAACTAAACTGGAGCATGTTGTTTGAGGGTACCCTTTTGGGGGGTTGGCTTAAAGGAAACCAACAGAACAACCACCATTTTGTCGGGTCCCCCGCCCACCCTAGACCTGCCTGTGATTTTTTCGCCGAGAATGCCCATCAGGTCTGGGCCCCAGGCAAGCCGAGGTCCGATTCTCAGTGTGCATGAGGCCTGCTGCAAGTCGACGGCGATGTAGTTGGAGAGCTGCATATCTTCCACCTGGAACCACATACTTTTCAGTGCCAGTTGTTGAAGGCCAACAAATCCCGCTTGAGACATAGGAGAGGGCTCCAAATCACTCTCTCCAGAACAATCATGGCTAGCGGGTGACCTCAATGTGAAATATGACTTTGCACAATTCGGAGCAAGTTACCAACAACTCAGATCGGATGGATGTGTGTGGGTGCCTGTGTGTATTCGCGTGTCTGTGTCCGTCTGTGTGTGTCAGTGTGTGTGTGTGTGTCAGTGTGTGTGTCTGTGTGTGTCTGTGTGTGTCTGTGTCTGTGCGTGCGTCTGTGGAGGTCTGTGTCTCTGTGTGTCTGTGTGTCTCTGTGTGTTTGTGCGACTGTCTGGGTCTGTGTGTCTGTGTGTGCGTGTGTTTCTGTGTCTCTGTCTCTCTGTGTCTCTCCGTCTCTCTGTGTCTCTGTGCGTGTGCATGCGTGTGTGTGTGTGTGTGCTCTTCTTGTGCTTGTGTGTTTCTGTGTTTTGTGTGTTTGTAGTTTGTGTGCATTCTGCTTGTGCTTGTGGTTGTATTGGTGGTTGCCTTTGGGGTCGTGTCTTTTAAGGTACCCCTTGGGGTAGGCTGAAAGCAACCCCAGAGCAAGATCATCATTTCAGACCGTCCCCAACTTGTAATCCAGGTGAAGGACCAACACTATGCTCATCCCTTATAATGCTTTTCCCCAGCCTTCCAGTCGTCATCGTGACTCGATGCCGAGCTGAACGCGAACCTAAGGCAAAGATGATACGCAACCGGATGGACTTGTTGTCAGCCCCGACCCAATGTTGGAGTTCATGGTGGTTTGGAAGCTAAAGGCCCAATTAGCCATGGGGCTGAGTTTGCTACTCAACAAAACAAACAATATCCTAGAAAACGGCTTTCGAGTTGAAAAGCCCAGCACCAAAGCTCAACCTCTCAATACGCAGCTCCATTCTTTCTGCTCCTTTCACAGCAGGGAAATGCAGGGAACATCACCAGTCGCCTTGAGCTGAAGTCACTGCCTTGTTGCGACATTGTTCAAACGCAGGGGCAAACGGCACGAGACGTAGCGATAGATTCTGAGATTCGACATGTTCTCCCTTCTTTTTCAACAGCCCATGAAAGAGCAGCTTAGGGTGCGGAAAACATGGAATATCATGGAATCTTCAACATTCAGCTCCCACCACTGTCAATTCTTCACCTCAGCTCTGCCCCCCGGCCATAAATCATTTGTTTGGTTGCGGTCCAAATGTGGTAGCCGTTTCACAAGAGACGCCAGTTGGGGCCAAAGCCCCACGATGCTCGCACCCAAAGAGACCCCAATGCGCAAATGAATCATAATGAAACATGGCTTTGAGACACTGCTTCCGAGGTTGGGAAATCCTTAGACCCCACGTGGAATTTCTCTATATTTGCTTCCTCTTTCCACGATTCAAACCGTCCAGCAAATTTGAAAGAGTATGCCTCCCAATCGACAAACTTGCCTTGTGGAATCCGTGGAACCCCAATGTTAGAGGCTTTACCGAAGATCGACCTGGAAGCTAACTCCCTGCCACTCAAGGAAGGTCTTTGGGTTTCCGTAGCAAACATGGGCCTACCACATAAGATTACCCATCCCACTCAAAGCCTTGCATTGTTCCGGAACACTGGCGCCCTCACAAAACTGGAGGGGTTCTTGTAACTCCTTCCGTGGGAACCCTCCCAACCACAAAAGTACCACCACAAACAGTTTTGAACCAAAGGGCCCAAAACACACACTTGGGGGAGCTCCAAGCCACATATGCAGAACCAAACATGCACAACCCCACATCCCCCCTGGCCATCCGTGCGCATCTTGGGTCAAAGGCGCTCGGGCCAGCAGGAAACAACCCAGCTGCATTTCGCGGAGCAGGTGCGACCGGGGATCCTTCAGATCCATCGCAATTTGCCACAAGCACCGCACCACGGCCAGTCGCAAGACTGACAAGGAACATCATGCTCACATGGCCGGCGGTTCACAAATCCTCTGGATGCCCCAGTCTTTGTGACCATGTTCACATGGCCCAAACTTTCTGGTGCTCTGCAGGGCATGAGGGAATGAACCCGAGCCAGTGGTTTTTGGGGTCGGTCCTTCTGGGCCCGGTGTCCAGTCACGCGGTGCACAAAGCCGCCCAATGCGAGGTCCTCCTCCTGGGCGTTGGGGTGTTTGGGGAAGGATCCCTCAAGGAAGGACGTGTTTGGCCGGGGGTGGGGTGGTTGGGTGTGGGCGAGGGGGTGTGGGGGATTTGAGGGGTGTTGGGGGTGTGGGGGGTGGCGGGGGGGGGGGGGGGCTGGAAGGTTGGGCGAACCTCTTGTTTCAACATGCGAAAGCCAAAGTTCAACCTCTTTTGGTTTCTAAATTGCTGGGGAGCCAGGGTCTTGCTTGAACACATTTCCCAACCCGGGTGTGGTCTGGCTGGGGAGAGAGTTGACGGGCCAAGTTGCGGGACATGTCACACGCCAAACAATGATTTGAGTGTCGCTCATAGCGAACAGTGTTGAGCGTGTTGCCACTTTTTCATCATTGATACGCTATCGCAATCACCCAAAGAACCTTCATGGCGCTTGAGTGTGTTCTGGCTAGGCAGATTTACCGACAAGGGGGAACGCGGTCGCTTGTAATTCCAGACGGATGCTTGTCGCAGCTATGCACTCCTAGAACACACAAGAAGGAAGTCTGACGACAAAATGTTTGATACCCTCAGGTGCCTAGGGTGGACACGTCTGCCATTTGGTCTGGATAGCAATGCAACCATCACTCCAAGTACAGTAGCCCTGATTGTTCGCATCCAATGGGAAAATTGGAGGCTAAATGGACGCTGCATTTTACAAGATACCCTAGCAAGCCAAGCATTCATGCTGTGCATCAACTGCAACAGATCACGTTCAGCCATGAAGACTTCAGGCCAACAACGAACATGGAATTCGACGTACCGAAGTGAAGGTATCCGAAGCGTCAACTGACATGCAACATCCACCTAGCCTTCAAGCCGCAGGCCGATATACATCCCCTTTGGGGAAAAACATTCCCAGGGACTTGCCTGGATGTTGAAGGATATCCATTTGACATGGGCAAACATGGGTAGCTTCCTTCTAGTTTCCCCTTTAAAGCCACCCCAGACAAGCTACCATCGACCTTGTGACCAAATCAACATGGAAACCCAAAAAGAAACACATGAGGGCCATGCTGGAAACCACACAAGCCAGCCCATCACGGGTCTCGCAGCCAGGTCTGCTCAAGACGGCTCCCCGTGGAGGGTACCACTGGGGTCCTTCCCCGGCCGTCATTGAGCCGAGGCGCCCAGTTGGTCAGCGCTTCCCCGTAGAGCTGTGTCCAGGCGGCTTCGCACACCTGGCGAAACCCCAGCCCCAAGTCCTAGGGAGCAAACCAATGACTATTATTCCCCCATGTCATAACTAACTTTGGTTTTTAAGTACCACACAAGATACGCAAGAAAATGATTTGGAGTTAGAGCAGGAGCCATTGCAGCCCAGTGACTATTGACAGCCCAGGACCATTGAGTGTGCCCATGGCTTCCTTGCGGCTCTAAACCAGTGGACCTCTAAGCTTTACCAGGGAAATTGGTCATCCCTTTTGTCTTGGTACTGCTGTTGTCGTATAGGGATCACCAGAGTTCGGGAGACCTGCGAAAACCACCCAAGAGGCTCACCACTAAGCAGGCCTGCTCCGTTTGCCGAACCCTTTGTTCGGGCCATGCCATACCTTGGAGAAACCGATGCACTTGCAGAAAGCTGCTGCCAGGGTAGTCTAAACTGGGCCAGCCTGGCTATACGTCCACTAGCGGAATTGGGTAGCTACCGGGATTGTCTGTCGGACGTGTTGACCCATCAGGGTGATGTGGCCATTGGTGGCAACTCAACCCGACTTGGCCAACCACTACAACTTCAGATCAACCTCGTTCCAAGCATTCCGAATATGTCCCCTAAAAGGGGTCGTGCTCGACCTCACCTCTTGAACAGGCCGAAAGATATACCTATACATACCTGTGTATATATATATATGTATGGTCAGCATGTATATATATATATATGTATGTACGATATGACAATGTATGTATATATATATATACACATGCACATGTATTGGCGAGTTCTTGCTAAATCGCAAGCTGACAACCATGGAACCCTATATGAAATAAACCTGCATGGGTAACTTCGAGAACACCTGCAAAATGATGCCGCTGATGCATAATTATGTAAGTATATACATAATACTTATGATTATACTACGTGTTTCAAACAAACTGCCTATATAATCACATATATACCTTACACACATACATAGGCTGATGTATATCAAATCACACACACAACCCACATCTGCTATACACCGTACATACTTGCATGTACAAACATGTGTATATATGCATATATGCATAGGTAGATGCATATGTATATACCCTCACTCCCACATTGCCACGGCACCTGACAGGGACCCGGTCCCTACCAGAGGGAAATGATCTTCCCAGGTGCCCTCCCATAGGTGCTACTGTGGATGGTTGCAAAATCCATTTCGCACCACCGTTCAGAAGCCCTGGAATGATTCGATTCCCCTACGTAAATACCAACAAACAGTGGTTTCCCGTGGTTTCAAACTGGTGCGAAGTGGATTTCGTCCATCCACAGTATACCTTCCCTCCAGCAATCATGGAAGTGGACAGGGTTCCCCAAAAAGGAAAATCGTCTTGCAAAACCCTTCTGGCTTCCATTGTTGGAGGGCATACACACAGTGTGAACCAGACGCAAGATGTTTTTCGCCCTGGGTTCCATGTTGGGTACCCATTTCTGACCCACTGCCATGAAGGTAGATGATGGTAGATGCATGTATGTATGTGAAAATCTTTGACCCACAGCCATATAGGTGGATGCATATATATATATATACATATATATATATAATTATATATACAAATCTTCGCCCGGCTCCGTCCCGTTCCTCCAGCAGATCCTTGGGCTGTGCGGACTTCGCCGCCAGCTGCTGCGCCGCCGCGGCCTGGTCGAAGGCCTCCTAGGAGTAACCCGGCGGCTTCCCGTCGAAACCAGCGGCTTCCCGTCGCTGGTCGGGATTTCCCGGTTCAAAACCTGTTGAAACCCACCAAAAACCAGGGGCCCGCACACAAAGAACTAAAATCCAGGTCAGGGAAAGATGATGTTGAACCAGTTTTGAGCCTGGATAAATAAACCCCTGTTTATTAAGGAGGGGAACACCCCCATGTTAATAAACACGGGTTTATTAATCCGGGGTCAACATCACCCGGTGAAACCCACAAAAAACAAGGGGCCCCCACAAAAAAACATATTTTTTAGGTCATGGAAAGATGATCCTCTTTCTTGTTGAGACTGGTCTGGAAAGGTCGTGAAGCCAGGTGTTAAGGCATTTTGGGCTGGCGACATCACCAGGTATCCTGTTTGCATCAAGAAGCATGGGGAATCACCCCCTACGTTGAATGGTGTTCCTTCCTGCTAGCAACAAATGTGTCGTCGTTGTTCCAGGCTACATTTTGGGAATGTAAAGAGAGACCGTCCATTTGTGGGAGTGCAGGCTGAGTGCAACCCGCGGACGCTGGGAAACACCAGTTTGTTTGCGAGTTCGTAATCCACCAAGGCTCGATGGGAAGCAGTCACTAAAGGGGCCCGGCATGGCCATGTAATGACGCATGAGTTCTTACAATCAGGAAACTCTTACTTAGTGAGGTGGATGTTGGATTTCAACCTCGGTTCTTGGGGATAAATTGAAACCATGAATTCAAAAACAACAATGCAACCCGCCAACTAGGGGGAGCTTGAATACCATCCCCGGGTTTCCGCTTGCTTTTGAACACCACATCCAAAGACATATGGGGAAACCAAACAAACATGAACGACCTCGGCTTTTGGTTTCAGGCTAGAACAACCAAGCACACGTTGACAGCATATGGAAACCCCGCCAACGCAAACCAACAAGCATTATTAGCAACAACACACGCCCCCTGGCAGTTTCCGCTCTTTGTCACAATATCACCTTTCGGCTCATTTCCGGTAGAACAAAACAAACACAACATACGGTAAGCAAAGCTGTCCCCTGTTGGCTTGCCTTGAAACCATACTCAAACCATATGGCAAGCAAACCCATCCCTTTGGGCTTTTTTTGGGAAACCAGAAGCTTTCGGGTTTCCTCATTGCTGATTTATCTATCCGCCGGTCCTGATACGGATGCTCGAAGTAAAGCTCCACGTCATCGTCCAAAGAACCTAGCACTCGTGAACTGGTCAGCATGATGCATTCGCCAGTCGGCGGTGGATGCAACATGTAAGCCCCTCAATGGCCCCTCAAACGTCTGTCCGTTGCTGGCTGTTCCAAAAGGAAACCAAAAGAATACTTCTGTGAAGCGACAAACCTTTGAGAGAGCCACATTGAGTGTGACACATGTTATCATCCCTTGATTTGGAAGAACATGTTCAGCGGAAGACTGGTTTTCCAGGAGACAAACAGGGCGGTCGCCCAACATGAAGCAATCCCGCTTTAAAACGGAACCCATCGTATGATAAATGATTGGTTTGCATTGCCCAAAAATAAGACTTAGTCAGGCCACCTTAACTTTGGGGGCAGCATGTACATAGAGATGATTGTCCACCACCGATTTAAAAGTGGATGTTCCACACAGAACCGGACCTAAAACCTGGCCCATCTAAATTGGTCTAAAGCAAATACTCTCCGATTCTGTTTGGTACGTTCTTGAGTCCAGCCTGCAACGCAGCTTTGGAGGAGGCCCCCGGAAAAACGGGGGCTTAGTGCCCTGTACTCGAGCTGCACCCCCCCGCGCCCCGCCTGTGAGGGTGTTCGCCACTTGCGCAAAGGCCAGCGCGGGCGGGGGGTCCGGACATCGGCTGTGGCCTCAGGAAGCCCACTCGCCGCTAGGGTCCCGAGTCGTCGAGAAAGAATGGCGCGCTCTGAAGGAAAACCTTTAAAGGGAAACCAGAGGAAACCGAGACCAAACTTCCTTGGTTTGGTGAGGGTCTCTGAAGGGAAAGCACACGAAACCAAACCCAAACTTCTACCTTGGTGAGCGCTTTAAGCTTTGGAGCAACCCTGCAAAATGAGTACCCAGCAAAATGTCCGAAACACATAGGAGCCAGTCCAACACCGATACCCTGAGAATATCGTAGCTTGCTCATGTAACCTTTCCAGGAATAAAGAGATGAACCTCAGGTTGGTGAATATCCGAAATTCAAGAGATTCCGCTGCCATCTTCGAAAGGTCAGGTCTATATATATATATATATATGTGATTCGGGCACGAGCCTGCCATGGCTAATCACAACATATATATATATATATATATACACACCATGCTTACATAGGAGCCAAAATCACCGCCTTCACCAGTAGCCAGCCACTTTTGGGCCTACGGATTCCCATTCGATGATACTCCGGACCCATGAATCTGAAGCTATGGCACCGAACTGAATGGACCCGATTTGCCCCCAATCAGTCCGCCAAACCTCTCTATATCCTCCACCCAGATCGGTCCGATGTTTGGTCCAATCACAATCCTGAGAGGTTGCCAAGAATGCGAAAAGCTGATGACTACGTCATGAATTTGAGGACAAGCAACTATGATGATACTACTACTAACTACTACTACTACTACTACTACTACTACTACTACTACTACTACTACTACTACTACTACTACTACTACTACTACTACTACTACTACTACTACTACTACTACTACTGCCAACAATAAAACATCATAATAAAATGATAACTGATAGTAACAATAACAATGATAACAATAATAAACACGACGATCGAGGACGTTGTCCGGAGTGTGACTGCTGATGCTGGTTGCATAAGTCAACCCTTTGCCCAAGCAACCTTGCGCACATAACCTGGATTGAGTTCCCAGCAAGGAATCGTCATGATGAGTGGGGCTGCAACGTCTGGTTGGTGGCTAACCAGGAGCAAAATCTCACTTTCCCGTCACACCTCTCTCCGGTAACAACTCCAGTCCTATGCTACAAACCCATGGGAATACACATCCGATGAACCAATGAAGAAAGCCATTCTCACTTACTCTAAGCGTGTCAACATAGAAGGTGAGTCTTTTACCCAGTTGCCTTTTCAAGGGACCCTGATGAAACAACTGATTCCTTTTTGGCGTTGACGTCATGTTTTGCAGGGAAGGACACTTCAAAAAAACAGGGAGCAAAGGGTTGGAAGACACCAACAAGATCGGAACAACGGGTTGGACTCCACTGAACAGCTGGGTGACTAGGGCAAGCCCCAAACATGTTGACACGGGCGGGTTCCCTGTGGTTTTCTCCCACAACCCCAAAAAAGGGCAAATCCAAAACACAAACACCCATTTGATATCTCCTCCCACCAATTGGCATGGAGCCTGACAGGAGATCCCAAAGGAAAAATGGTCTTCCAAGGACCCCATGAACGAGACGATGACCGAGGGGCTATCCAAGGTGCGGCCTTCCACCGACAAAGGATCCACCGGGTACATGCCTCAGACATCAGTTGCTGGTATTGTGCTTCCAGTTGTCATAAGCGATGAGCCATCATAGAAAACCAGAAAAGAAACGCTGAGCCAAGCCCAAAAGGTGAGAAGTTCTGGATATCTTTGGAATATATGTGACATCGAAAGGCAATGCTTTTTGAAGGGTGTTTCTCTTGGATTCCTACTACGCAGCTATATAGTATTATATTGGTCAAGTGCTGGGGGGAATAAAGGGCAAGACATAAAGTAATGTTCCCGGAATGTCTGTGCAACTTGACAAACGGTAAGAACTCCCCGCCCGCAAACAAAAAAAAAGGCAACAACTGCGTCGTGGACTGCCAAATACGGCAGGATAAAACAAACAACAGCACAAAGTAGCGATGTGTTTTAAGCTAAGACGTGCAAGAGAAGTTGCTTCGGTGTCCCTGTTAAACATCCGTTTGACTCAGCTAGCCCTGGCAATTAGCAACAACCACATACATATGTGTGAGGGTAACCCAATACAGATTGTGTCATCTTGGTTTCGCTTTGGAGCCCCGCAACCCTTAGGAGCCCAGCCCACAAACCTACCCAACCCATAGGGCCAGAGGCCCACCAAAACGGTTTTCCCAGTAAAGTTGTCCTCCGCTATGACTGAAACCTGGCCAGTGTTGGCTCAACTCTGTCCACCGGAACAACTCATAACATCAGATGATGTGTCTGGTTTTGTCTACTTCAAGTTATAAAAGTGGGGAGGAGTCTGTCCGCCTTTCCCCCCTTCAGCTACCCAGGCGGTTTGCAGTCCGGAGGATAGAGGTGATTTCCCGTGCCACAAGAACCGGGGGTTCAAGCCAAACCAATCCAAACCAATCCAGGGTCACCGGATTGTATGGACTCATATATGCACCCATTGCCTTGTGTCGCTTTGGTAACTGGCTCCCCCACAATTGCCAGAATTTCGCCATGCGGTTCATTGACGAATAAACTCAGGGCTACGCGGCACAACCCTTCGCTTGATTTTTGCAAGAGTGGCGAGCTTCGTTTTTCAGCTTGAAATCCAAGAGTTCCCCCAATCGACCTGATACCCTAGAGCACCCGTCGCAGGCTCGATGTGCCGGATGTCATTCTTCAGCGGGGCATCGATGGAAACCTCCCTCGGTCTTTGGGGATTCCCCCCCCTTTCAAGACACACTTGTAATTCTTCAAAAAGCCCAAACAACCTACCAAAAAGCGACCTAAACCACCAACGTTAAAACCACGCCAATGTCTACCAAGACACCAGGAGTCTCCTTCTGACCCTGAAAAAATTGGGTCATTGCCCAAAATACTGGGGTCATTGACCAATTTTTGAAGGGTCAGAAGGAGACTCCAGGCACGCATTTCGAGCAAAACAAATTTGGGTGTGGCTCAAATTTAACCCGGAGGGGCAAACCGCAAACCGGTTTTGGTCCATGTGCCACTTACCAGGGCAAACAAAATGCTGGTCCCGGCTTTCTGAGCCAGAGCCAACCGGTTTTGGTCCATGTTCCACTTACCAAGGGCAAAACACATTTTGGAGTTCCGGCTTCTTGAGCCGGAGCCACTTCTCCCAAACCAAACCGCTCGGTTCACGGCCTCCGCATCCCCGACGGCGCCTTCCGGAAGCTCCACGTGCATCATCTCCTCCGCCAGCCACCGGAGCTGCGGCTGGCGCTCCACGTGCAAGAACCCAACGAAGGCCTTCCGGAAACCGGGACGGGGGCGCCTTTCAGGTTGATCAACATATTGATATTATATATATATATACTGTATATAATAATATATAGATAATATATATATATATGTACATGTATCAATATGTCCTTCGGCTTTTGACATGTTTTGACCATACATCTTTGACTGACTTGTCTGTTCCATCTCCTCGGTTCGTTTGTATTCTGCAAGTAAACAAAAGTGGATGCACCTTCTTTGGTTTCCCTCCAAGCTAATTTCTACACAAAAGGTGAAGACAATCTTCGGGATTTCTACGCGCAAATTCTCTACCCAAGTTGGCGCTTCGCGTTCACCTGCCACGTTCGTCACCCACACAGGTTGCTAAATAGCCAATCAGTGTCAATTCAGCCAAAGGGACACTAAAAGGGGATGATAATTTGAATCAGACTCGCCCCAAAAACATGCAGGTTGTGTTCTTCTCCAGTCCCCCTGCTTATTGTTCTTTGTTCAGACCAATCAAATAAGTCTTACCTTGTCTCTCGGAGCAACCCATCCTCAGGTTGGAAGTTCCATACCTCCAAAACTTGAAACTGGCGCCCCCGACTTTAGCGGAGGACCCACACATGTTTGCTGAACTCAAGTTTCGGGGGCCCGGGGTGTGGGGAGCTTGAGGCCGTGACTGGTAAAGCAAACACTTCGGGAACCAGTGCACAGGTTCGGATCTCTGAGGCCAATCTCAAAGAAAAGTCATGGCTTGAAGATCCTGCGCACGACGCTTGTTGAAAACTGCTGACCAGGGCCGAACGAAACCGGAACGGGCCTGCGGGGTAGTCTACAGTCCAAACTCGGGAGCAAGATTGTTAGTAGCGATGTAGCCCCTCATGTTACTCACAAGGTGAGTGTTTACCACAGCGACCTCGTGCTCACTGCCGATCCTTCACAATGTTCTGTCATTCGAGTTGCGGAACCTGACTAGAGGTCACGCTCCTCCTTCACACATTGGCGAATTGAGGAACTGAAGGATCAACTCCCAAACCAGCAAGCCCTAGGTGAGATGTGGCAAACCTCCGCCCCTGTGTCCTTCGCATCTGTTCTGCTTCGGTTTCAACCCTAAGGGTTCCTTGGTGCCAAATCCATGGATCGGACTGAAAAACTTGTTGACAATTCCCCTTGAACCAAAACCAAAACTACTCCCCGGCAGACAAGTTCTCAAACCCATCTCTTTTAGATCAATCTCCTTTTGGACCCGTGTGAACTTCCAAACGCCTCGGGTTTCTCTCTCCACCCCCCCGCCCCGCTTTTTGCGCGCGCGCGCACCGCCAGCGCGGGCCTCGATGCCAAAGTGGGTGGATGAGGTGGGCACCCGGGAGGAACTTAACGCCCAGGTCCCGGACGACGAGTCTGGAGAACGTGAAACGATACGGGCACCGGGCCTCGTCTCTCTGTACCTGTACTCGGTTGCTTTCTGCTCCTCTGCTAAGAGTTAAACTTTTAAAGTTTTAATTTTAATGGACAGAAAAATATGAGTTGGCAAAAGTCCTAGCATCCAAGCAAAATGCACCAAAGTGTAGGTTGGGTATGGGCACCTCAGGGTGCAAACTAACCTCATGTTGACGCTTGTGTTTGATGGTTATCAGGGTACCTGTAGCTTGGAAAGGGACATTACCTTCTGTTGCAGAACTCCTGGTAGCTTTGTAAGCTCCCTCTGGGAAGGCAAACATTTAGACACCCCCAGCTCCTTGGCTCCCTTGCAACCGTCAGGTAGTCAACCGACTGCGGCGACAGTAATCAAATGTAATCAGCACCTGTAGGCTGGTTCAGAGTCACAGGACGAAACTAACACATGGGGGCACCTTGTAGCGCTTGGTAAGGGACATCAGGAAAATGCAATTTTTGAAGTCCCAATCCCGAATTCGACTCACTCCAAATAAAATTGTCATTTTCCCCCATCCAAATGGGGTAGTGTCCCTTTAGACCAACCCCTAAAAACGAGGTACCGCCACCAACGTAGGAGAACCCTCTAAAAATGGTTTGCTGCTAAGGGCCACCCTCCACGCTTGCCTGGACCCAAAACCATCGACTCAGCCCTGAAACCCATGTTTGAGCTCTCAAAGATCAGGAGCCTTTGGAAACAAGGGAAGCATAAAAACTGGTGTCCTTACTTTGACTCGCTGTTTCCATCAGCCCCAACAAAGGGTGCCCTCAAGACACGTGGCAAGCAAGCAGTCAACCGCTTTTTTGCATGCAAGCTCGGAAGTCCCTTCACTCCATTGAATTCCCTTCACTCCATTGAATACACCAAATAAATGCGCCTTCGATCAGGTTGATCTTTAGGTATCAAGAGGTACATTCCGCCCATACTATTCATCCTGGACATTTGTTGACTATTGGCGTAGAGGAAATCGGATTCAGCCCCAGCGTGTTCCTTCCTGGGGCGGGCGGTTGCTAGCAAAAAACTGGGCAGATCATTAATTCCTGCAACTCAGTCACGCAAATTCATCCAACAAAGACGACCGGGTTGTGGTTGGCATTGATGAGCAGGAAGGTTCCATCACCCTTCTAAAACTTGTTCATGCTTGTGGTGTCCATGAAACTCAGGGCGGTCGTGGCGGTCTGGACTGTCTGTTGCCGTCAATGAGTATATTCAAGGACATTCTCAAGGGCAGGTCTAGCAGCGCACCTGCTATCAAATAATGAAATGTCGTGGCAAGAACCAAGCCGGCAGAATGGGATGCGTCTTCACCAGTGAGCAAAAGACTCAGCTGAACATGAAAGATTCGAACCGCCTCGAGGAGGCTGCTTAAGCGACACCTGTTGGGCAATTTTAGCACACGTTGTTCTTTCTGTGGGCTGACATAAGAATTCCCCTGATGCTGCATCTCAGCTGTTTGAGCAGCACAACCTGTCTCACCATCTGACAAGGGGAATGTGATGCAAACTTGCAACGGCCAGTTCCAAGTCATGAGTGCTAAGTGGGTCGGGGAAAAACAATATTGTGCAAAGTGGTTGTTCCTATTCCAGAATCCTGCCACTGTTCCGAGGCTTGCAATAATGGCAAGTTCCCCCCAAAACAAAAGGAATTCTGCGCAAGCAACACTACAATAGAATTGGCATCGCTGAACCCAGACCGTAACAAACACCGGCCCAGACCCCCCCCTTTCCTACTAAAAAGGCCCCACATGACTGTGTGATTCGGGCACGAGCCTGTGCCCAGGCAATGGGTAAGTTGGGGTAAACAAGCCACAAAAGAAAGGTTCCCCAAAAGCAAACCAATCCCCGGTCCCAAAGATCAGGGTTTCCCACACACCAGAGAACAACAACCAAAAGGGAAAAAC